CCTCACCCTTTCCAGGTTTCATCCCTCAAATCTCCAGGAATTTCCCACCTGGAGTTGGCAACTCTATCTCCTTCCCAGCCAATCATCAACCTACCTTTATTTCCCCCTCACTCGTCAGCTTTCCATTTTCACACACACACACACACCTGCAGCCTTTTTCATGCTCTGAAGCCCTGACTGCCACAGAGTCCATCATATTCTCCAGGGGAACTGATCTCTGCCATCTGGAGAGCAGTTGTAATTCTGAACGATCTTTAGCCCTCACCTGGAGATTGGCAACAATGGTTTCCCAGGAAGAAGTAGTGTTTCTCTACAATGGGGACCAAAGCAGCTTACATCATTCTCCTCTCCCCCTTTGTCTTGCACAACAACCCTGTGAGGTAGGTAAGGCTGAAAGTCTGTGACTGGTCCAAAATCACCCACTCAGCTTCTACAGCAAGAACCTGGATCTAGCAGACCCTGCTTTGAAGCACTGACTGCATCCCTAGGGCAGTCAACCTCCAGATGGAGCCTGAAGATCACCAGGTATCACAACTGAACTGAACTCCAGACAACAGATCTCCCCCCCCTGGAGAAAATAACTGCCGTGGAAGGTGGGCTGTATGGCATTCTGTTCAGCCAAGGCCTCTCCCCTCCCCAAACCCTGGCTTCCATAGACTCTACCAGAAAATCTCCAGGAATCTTCCTACCTGGAGCTGGCAACCCTAGTCAGGACTGGCCCCAGTGAGTTCCTCACAAAGGCCTGCAAAGGGTTTCCTTTGTCTGAACTAAGCTTGGTTGCCTACTATGGCAAAACGGGCTCCAGTTTACAACTCAGCTGTTTGCCTCCCACCCTCGTCCCGTGGGTGTATCTCCTTAAGTTCACCGCTGCCACTCATGGAATCGTCACTGCCTTTTTAGAGGGACAGTGGGACCTCTCTGGCCAAATCTCCCTATTTGGAGATGGAATCCTCAATCTTTGAGGGATCCCTGGAAAGTTGACACTGTAGGAGTAAGCACACACTATGAACCAACAGAGCATAAATCAACAGGCGTTAAATGCAATCCTCTTTCTCTACACACAATAGTCTCTACTTCTGGAGGTTGTGGGCTCACCTGTACTTTAGCGTCTCTCTCTTGCCCAAGGGAGCAGGAAAACTTCCATTCATTCCCCAGTCCAGCTGACTGTGGAGTGGCTGAATTTCTGCTGCCTCCCTCTGGAACTACAGCTCAATTAAACCTGATGGGGGGACATTTTAAACAAAGAACCACAGCTATCTTACAAACA